CATCACCTGCTGCAGACTCAGTCTAGCACTGATGTCCATTAGCACCCTACCAGCTCCAAACATAGTGCTGCTGCTGAGCCACTCTTGGTGATGGACATTGAAATCCCCCACCCACTCTTGCCATCCTCAGTGCTTCCTCCGAGTGTTGTTCAATATGGAGGGGTATTGATTCATCAGCTGAGGGAGGATGTTCTGTGGTAACCAGTAGGAGGTTTCCTTGTCCATGTTTGACCTGGTGCCATGGGGTCTGGAGTCAATGTTAAGGACTCCAAGGGCAACTCCCTCCCAGCTGTATACCACTGCGATGCCACCTCTGCCAGATCTGTCGGTGAGACAGGACATATCCGGGAATGGTGATGGTTGTATTTGGGACATTGTCTGTGAGGTATGATTCTGTCAGTTTGACTGTCTCAGGCTGTTGCTTGACTTGTCTGTGAGGCAGCTCTCCCAATTTTGGCACTTGACAACCCGCACCCCCCCGCCCATGTTAAAAAGGAGGACTTTGCAGGTTGACTGCGCTGAGTTTATTATTCGTGGTGCTTAGGTCGATGCCAGGTGGTCTGTCCAGTTTCATTTCTTTGTTTGGATTTTGTAATAATTGATGCAGCTCAGTGCCTTGCTAGCCCATTTCAGAGGGCAGTTGAGAGTAAACCACATTGCTGTAGTTCTGAAGCAGTTAAGGCCAGGTCCCTGAAGGTAATTAGTGAACCAGGTGGAGTTTTCTAAAGAGTGACAGTGGTTTCAGGGCCATCATCAGATTCTTAATTCCGGCTATTTATTGAATTCAATTCCACAACTGCTGTGACAGGATTCAAAAATTTAAAACAACTGCAGAAAGAATCAAAAACAAGCTACATTGCAACAATAGCCAGAAAATCAACTGACTGCTGACTTGCAGGTCATTGGCCAAGACTATATATAGTCCTCCACAGTTGTCAACCAAGCCCCTTTAAAACTGCATCAAGACATCCTTCCTTCTCCTCAAATCACTTGAAATGAACGAAGTGAATGTTACCATCTTGAAACACTTCTCCAGGGATGCAGCTCGCTCTGCAGTACAAGTCTTGAGTATGATCGTCAGGACTGAAAGCCTTTACAGTATCATGCGTCTTCAGTGCAGCATTGCCATCATTTCCAATTGTCCCTGGATAGCTCCTCCAGCCCAATATTGTCTGACTTGTGATGGGTTGTTGAGTGAGAAGTGAGACCATACAACTGCCTTTTTCTAACCTGTAATATCGCCTGATTAATATCACCCATCTCTGCTAATTGGCTACGGACACCCTCATTTATGTCTTTAACAAATATAGCCCTGACTGTTCCACTGATACCTGACAGGCCTCCCAAATTTTACCATCAGTATATCTCAGGTGCTGCTTGCATTTTTACTTGCTGGAAGTCCCATTTATATGTCATTTCCATCTTCATTGATCTACGTTGGCTCTCAGCTAAAAGGTCATGAATTTATAATTCTCATCCTTGCTTTCAAATGCCACCTGGCTTCAGCACTTAGCTATCTATCTATCTTAGCTATCCAGACACACAATTCTTCATGATATCTGCAATCTCTCTTATTTTGCATCTGGAGCTCCACTATTGGGAGCCCTGACTCCACTTCGACTCATTGAGTCATACGGTACAGAAATAGACCTTCAGTCCAACTTGTCCATGCTGGCCAGATATCCTAAACTGATCTAGACCTGTTTGCCAGCATTTTGCCCATATCCCTCTTAACCCTTCCTATTCATATACCCATCCAGATGCCTTTTAAATGCTGTAATTGTACCAGCCTCCACCACTTCCTCTGGCAGCTCATTCCATACATGCACCACTCTCTGCGTGAACAAGAAGCCCCTTCGGTCCAACTCGTCCATTGCGACCAGATATCCTAAACTGATCTAGACCCATTTGCCAACATTTGGCCCATATCACCCTAAATGCTTCGCATCATTTACCCTGGTGCCTTTTAAATGTTGTAATTGTACCAACCTCCACTAGTTCCTCTGGCTGCTCATTCCACATATGCGTCACCCTCTGCATGAAATGGTTGTCCCTTAGCTTCCTCTTAAATCTTTCCCCTCTCACCTTAAAGCTACACCCTGTAGTTTTGGACTCCCTCAACCTCAGAAAAAGATTTTGAATGAAGAACAGATATCAGCCATTCAGTCCACCATGCCTGCTCCATCTGTGAATAAGATCAGGGCTGCTTTTGCTCTTCAGCTCCACTCATTAACTGACTCCCCATTTTGTCTGATTCCTGGAGGGATCAAAGATGTGTCTTTCTCAGTTTTAAATATCTTTTCAGATGGAACATTGTCCCCTCTGAAGTAGAGATTCCTAAAGATTCACAAACCATCCTGTAAAGAAATTTCTCCTCATCTCAGTCCTAAGTGACAGATCTCTAATCCTGGCACTGAGTCACCTTTTTCCCCACCCAGGGAGAATAACCTCTCAGTGTAAACTCCTTCAAGTCTTATCTGATGTTAAGCATCTCAAATTCCATACTGTTGTTTGATTCAAAGGCTCCCTGTATATCTAACACGTGGTTTGTGCCTTTTCCCACAAACACTCTGCCTCTGTTCTCAGCTCAGAGATATCCTCTCTCTGACATTCTGCCTCTTTGGCTCACTTTCCTCCATTAAGATACGCTCTAAAACTATGGTTTCGGTTAAATGTTTGGTCTGCCTAATATTTCCCACATGACTCAATGCAATTTGGTCTTTGCAATATCTCGTGGTAACATCTTGAAATGTTTTATTAATCCCGAAGGTACTATCTAAGTGCAAATCTGGCTGTTGTTGTCATAAACTAATTTGATTTTTAACAATCCAACATCTTTATAGTCAGTGTTACTTGTACAGATAGATAAGCATTAGTTTAGAATCCACTGTCTTGACAGGAAATTCTAATGTAAAGTGAGCTATAAGATTTGTGTAAAAACCCTACAGATTTTAACCCACTTCCAAGAAAAAAAGTTATTGCCTGGTAAAGGGGAGATATGTTCTGAGTTCAATAAGAAAATTTCTGAACAATATTGCAATGTTCTCTGCACAGAGAGAAATTTCAGCACTGGGTTAGACACCCAGAGATTGGAAAATTACATTCTGAAATCCATTGGACATTGCTACAGGTTTCTTATCCACAATGAGAAAAGTAATAATGCAATAATGAGCTTACTGTTTTGAGTTTAAGCTGCATTTTGCAATTATCAGTTTGAGTTTCAGTTTTCCAAAGTCAAATTTCAAATAGAAAACAAGCTTTGTGGTGGGTGGTGGAGTTCAATGAGGCAAACTGTTCACTTTAATGGGAAGAATAGCATTGTAACGATAGAAATAATATGCTGCAGCGTAGAAAGATCTGGGTGGCTTCATTCATGAGGGACAAAATGTCAGCATAATCGTGCAGGGACAGCATGTGATTAGGGATGTCGGTCTTTCTGGTGAGGTGAATGGAATATAAACACACAAGAATTTTACAGTAACCTTACAGGGAAATAGTTAGATCGTATTTGGAGTACTGTCCTGGTCCCTCTATCTAAAAACAGATACACCTCCATTGAAACCTGCTTGGAGGAGATTTGCCAGTCTGATTGCTGGGAACAAAGTGTTCTTGCATGACGAAAAGTTTGACCTATGCCCATTAGAGTTTAGAAGAATGAGGGGTGACCTTATTGCAATGTAGGTGATTCTGAAGGAGTTTGACGAGTGATCAGAACCAATGCCCTCTCATGAGGGATAACTAGAACTAGGATGTCACAGTTTAAAAATTTTTTTCTTTTCTTTATTCATTCATGGGATGAAGGCATTGCTGGCCAGGCATCATTTATTGCCCATCCCAAATTGCCCAGAGGGCAGTTAAGAGTCAACCACATTGCTGTGTGTCTGGAGTCACATGTAGGCCAGACCAGGTAAGGATAGCAGTTTCCTTTCCTAAAGGACATCAGTGAACCAGATGAGTTTTCCAAAAATCAACAATGGATTCACGGTCATCATTAGATAATGAGTCTCCAATTGAATACAGAAATGAAGAGGCATTCCTTTATTTGGGAATTTAGTCTCTAGAAGTCTCTTGAACTAAAACCAGAGAAGGATGGATTATTGAATGTTTGCAATAAGGCAGTTTGTTTTTATCATTTAGAGAGTTACAGGCTAGAGTAGGCAGGCAGAAAAGTGGAGTTAAGGCCATTAGTGAGATCAGCTATGACCTGAATATCTGGAACTCACGCCTGTAAGGGTAGTAGAGGCAGAAACTCTCAACATCGAGGAAGTATGCAATGCCAAGGCATACATGGCTGTGGGCTTGGTGCTGGGAAATGGGATTAGAATTGTTAGGTGGTTGTTTTGATTGGGACGGATGTGATGGGCCAAAGGGAATTTTTCTATGCTCCTGATCACAACGACTCTTGGCTCCCTGACAGAACAAGGCCTCAGGGGTCAAATGGCCTACTCCTGTCTCTGATAATCATCTGTAGTTCACATTCTAAGTGGAAATAGTGCACATGTAGGAGATAGTACATACCCTTAGTTCTGAAATGGAAGAAACCCAGCTAACAATCAGATTTATTTGCAATTTGCTCATGAAGACCATCATATAATGGCTTTAAAATTGCTGCAACAAAATGAGTGTATTTTCTCCATTTATTGTCATGGAGAGTGTAAGTTTGTTGAGACTGTTTTGTGTTGCCTCATGCACCCTGCAGGTTGTTTTAAACTTATTTCTACCAGTGTTGAGCCTGAAATGAAGTGTTTAGGTAAATCATGGACAGTAGACGGTGCAGCATTGATAAAAGCAAATGTTTATTGCGTCTCAGGAATAATTTCGGTTGAAGCAGTTTAACAATTACAATCAATTTTGAAAAGCGCAGGCTACAGAAAGATGGAGAGTGTTCATAAAGAGAAAGGATTCATTGGCATGTAGTTTGAGCAAACTGGGCAGAGAGGGGTTTGGAGAATGAGCTTCGAGCTGCTTTCTACCAAAATGATCTTGGCTGCATTTTCAACGGTACCTAGAGCTCAGATGCTCGTAAACGGCCTTGAGGAATTTGTCCACAGCAAGTTGGTGTGCAGAAGAGAAACTGGCCAGGTGATTGGCCAATGTCATTTGGATACATTTGGAGAAAACCTGTAACCAAAAGAAATACACATTTGAAAATAGATTTCAAAACAGCATTCTCTCAATGTGAAACAACAACAAAATGAAATGGAGAAACACAGCAGGTCCTGGTGTGAGACTGGCCAAATTTTAATTAACGTGTTTGGCCAGCTCTCAGGGACAGGGGAGATTTGAACTCATTCTCCTGATCCTGATGATGTGCACAGTCTCAACATGGCATTATCAGAAACTCAGTTCTGTGCACAGCTTGGTTTTCATTGAGTTAGTAAAAACTGCAGATGCTGGAGTCAGAGATAACGCAGTGTGGAGCTGGAGGCATGGTCTGCTGTGCTCCTCCCAGCTCCACACTGTGTTATCTCTGTTTTAATTTTGCTGTCCTTTCAAAGAAGCAGCGTGAATGTCCAATCCTTGTGCCGAGCATCTGAGTGCAGGAGACACCAGGAATATTCCAGCAGAGATACCTACCAGGAAGTTTTGAGGGTCCACCAAAAGCTTTTTCCCATGGAATTCAGCAAGTTCGCAGAGTGACGTCTTCAGATTATCCACGTCTTTTGCTGCTTTGGCCAATGCATTCATGACCTTTTCCCCATGGGTTTTCAGGTTTGAAATGCTAAAGTCCTTGTAGGTAAAGTAAGTCTTGCTTCCAGGATAAATCATAAACAGCCTACCAGAACAGAGATAAATTAAATAAAACCACAATCACATTTTTGATAAGCCATTAATCCCCAATCCAACCTCATTATTCAGATTCTGATGTCGGAAGTCGACCCTGGAACACAAAAGTAACTGGAAAATCCAGAGCAGGTGACATGTCAGAAGATTGGAATTCAAAGATTGCCATTTGTTTGAGATCACGCAGTGATTCAATGTAGAAAATTTCACTGCCTCATTTTCATTGCGTTTAAATTCAAAATAATATAAAACAAAGACCTGCAGATGCTGCAGATCAGAAACGAAAACAGGAATTGTTGGAGAAACTCAGTCGGTCTGGCAGCATCTGTGGACAGAAAGCAGAGTTAATATTTCGAGTCCAGTTGGATTCTTCTTCAGATAAAGGGTCATTGGGCCCAAAATGTTGACTCTGCTTTTCTCACTGCAGATGCTGCCAGAGCTGCTCAGCTTCTCCAGTAATGTTTGCTTTTGCCTTCAAATTCACCATCACAGATTCCCTTTATCAAAGTACTTTGCTCAGAATGTAACTGTGATTAAATTACCTGGACAAAGATTCTGCACCATAATCTTTTGCATTTTCGTGGAGCAAATTGCCGATGTCATGTACAATTTTCTTCTCTTCCTTGCTGAATTCTTCAAAAGACATGGTTGCTGCTCTGGTCGCTCTTCAAGTTGACTCAACAATTTCGACCTGTTTGCTGACAGATTTTGTCTCTTTTTATTGTATATCTTCATGACCCACCCTCCTCTCTCCATCTGTCTGATTGGTTACTGGTCTCTATACCAATCCTCTTGCATTTATTGCAATTGCAATGATAAGCGATACCATGAAGTGAAAACCCAATCATCTGTTTCTTTTGCATCTGTGGACAAAGATAACCTATGTTGGAGAAATTATACGAAACTAGACGTTCTGCACATTTCATTTCAAGCTGTTTTTAGATGGTTGAAATTGTTGAATTAATAAATGTACTGTAATAGACTGCCAGCACTTATAGCAATACAGGACCTATTGGCTTTTTACTCAATGTCCAAATATTTTAATAATCTTTACCTGACATGTTATTCCTGAGCCAGTCTTTCAGTGGTGCCTCCATTGTTTAGGGGGACATTTGTCAGAAACACAGTTGTGTGGTGAAAATATCACCAAATATTTCAGACAGAATAGAGTCATTGAGATCAACTGAACAGTGAACAGCCTTTTGATGTATTGCATCAGTGCTGGTCAAAAACAACCTCCCAACTATTCTAATCCTAATTTCCAGCCCTTGGCCCATAATCTTGTGTGCCTTTACGTCACAAGTGCACATCTAAATACTTCTTAAATGCATTGAGGGCCTCTGCCTCTACCACCCAGGTAGTGAGTTCCAGATTCCCACCAACCAGCTGCTTGTAAAAGCTATTCCTCATATCTCCTCCAAATCGTCTGCCTCTTACCTTAAATCTATGCTCCCAGTCATTAATTATTCCATCAAAGCACCTATGCCCCTCATAATTTTATACATCTTAAATCAAGTTCCCTCCATTTTCTGTGCTCTAAGGAAAAGAATCTCAGTCCGTCCAGTCTCTCTTCATAACTGAAACTCTCCAGTCCAGACAACATCCTGGTAAATCTCTTCTGCACCCTCTCCAGTGCAATCACATCCCTCTCTAAAGTGAATCCCAGAAATGCACACAGTACTCTAGCTGTAGCCTAACCAATGTTTTATATAGTTCCAGAATCACCTCCCTGCTCTTAAATTCCATGCCTCAGCTTGTAAAAGCAAATATCCCAAATATCTTCTTAACCACTTTTTCCATCATCCTATACCTTAACGAACCAAAGTACATGCAACACCAAAGTCCCTCTAATCCTCCATGCTTCCCAGAGTCCTACCATTCATCATGTATTCCCTTGCATTATTGGCCCATTATCTCACACTTATCTGGATTGAATTCCAATTGCCACTGATCAGCCCATCTGACCAACCCATCTATATCCTTCTGCAGTTTAAGGCTACCTTCACACCAAAGTCCCCATATACATATATATCATTTATATATAGCAAGAGACCAATATGGGCCCCTACAGGACGCCACTGGACACAGACTTCTATTCATTTAGCCAATTGTTAGTCCAATTTTCCAAATTTCGTTTGATGCCATGGGCTGCTATCTTTGTTATCAGTCTTGCATGTGGGACTTTATCAAAAGCCTTGCTTAAGTCCAAGTAGACTGCATCAAAAGCATCGCTCTCATCTACATACCTGGTCACCTCTGAAAAATTTAATCAAGTTCGACAGAAGTGACCTCCCCTTAACAAAACCATGCTGGCTGTTCTTGACTCATCCCTGCCTCTTCAAAGGCTCAGTGATTCTGTCCCTCAATGTCACTACCACCGAGGTTAAACTGACTGGCCTACAATTTCCTGGTTTATCCCTTGCTCCTTTCTTCAATAACCACATTGGCTGTCCTCCAATCCTCCGGCACCTTTCCTATGGCCAGAGAAATTGAAAGTTTTTGCGAGAAGCCCCTACTATTTCCTCCCTTCCCTCACTCAAAAACCCGAGATACATTTCATCTGGCCCTGAAAATTTATCTATTTTTTACGTCTGTCAGACCATTCAGAATCTGCTCTGTCCACACTCACTTCTTTAATTGTTTCACAGACCTTCTGCCTGATTTCTATATCGATATTGTCCCCTTCACTCATGAACACTGATACAAAGTATTTTAAACCTAACTGTATCCTTTGGCTCCCTGCACAAATTACCACTGTGGACCTTAATGGGCTCCAACCTTTCCCTCATTTTCTACCCTTAATGCACCTGGAATATAATTTAGGATTTTGCTTTATTTTACCTATCAGTATCATTCCATGTCCTCATTTAGCTCTCCTAATCTTTTTTTTTGAAGTTCTGACTTGCACATTCCATACTCGTCCAGGGCTTCTGCTGTTTTGAATCCTTGGTTTCTGTCACAAGCCTCCTTTTTCTCCTCATCCAATGTCATATATCCTGTGATATCCAGGGCTCACAGGATTTGTTGGTGCCACCCTTTCTCTTTATTGGGACATGTCGGTCCTTCCTGAATGTGTCTCACTGTTCTGAGATAGATTTACCTGAAAGGATCTGCTCCTAGTCCACTCTGGTCTACACATATCTGATCTTATTAAAACCAGTCTTTCCTCAGTTTAGAACTTTGATTTCAGGTCCAATATTGTCCTTTTCCATGACAGTCTTGAATCTAACAGAGTTATGATCGCTGTCTGTAAAATGCTTCCCATTGATGTTTCCAACATTTGCCAGCTTCATTAACTAAAAATAAGCACGAGCGAGCCTCCTTGCAAGGATGATGGTCCCATTGCAGTTCAGGTGCAAAACTTGGACAAACTTGTCCCCCCACCCCTAAAATCTTTCCCAGAAATCTAAAGCCCTCCCCACTGTACCATCTTTGCAGCCACATATTCATCTGGACTGTCCTCACATATTTCTAAACTCACTTGCAAGTGGCACCAGAAGTAATCCAAAGATTACTACCTTTTGGGTCCTGATCTTGAATCTACTTCCAAGGTCCCTGAATTCTGCTTTTAGGACCCCACCCCTTTTTCAACCTACATCAGAGGTATAAATACGTGCCACGATCCCTTGTCATTTTGCTCTCCCTCTTCATAATGCCTACAGCTGCTCAGTGACATCCCTGACCCTAGTACCAGGAGTCTTTTTTTGCAGGCACTGTCTGCTCCCTCTATGAATGAATTCCCTGTCACTATAGCTCTGCTGTTCTTTTTCCTACTCTCTTGTGCAGCAGACCCATCCATGGCGCCATGGAATTAGCTCTGTGGTCAAGTGGCCAGTAGGAGAACTGGCTTTGCGATTGTTTAAGAGCTATAATCAAGCATGCTGGGAATTTTGGTCAAGCAAGTTTAAACTCTGACCTCGTTAAACTGCAGCCAGAACATGTTGTGACCTGTAGTTTTCTGTGTTGACCGATAAGGCGAGAGTCGTGGTGGTTTCTAGACATGTTGCAACCACCACTAACATGTATGGCTTACCAAATGTCACTATTTACGACTTGGTGTAAACATTTGGGAGTAGTTTACTGCTAAAATCCATTGTTTGGGATTGAACAATGTTATCAATTCATTGGCTGAGTGCCAGAGATCTTTCTGGAAACTAGCACATTCTACAGCCCAAAGAAGTTTTCTCAGAAGAAGCCTTGTTCCACATTGGAAAAATATGTGTCCTGAAATAATTTTTCAGAGACAACAAAGAACCACGAGGTGATATCTACATGGAGAACATAGTTGGCCACTTCACTTGAATCAGGGTAGTACTTGATTAAGCCAAACTGTTAGAATTAAAGTAAGAATCACAGACCATGGCCTCCCCCTGCTCATACAAGTGGCAGAGGGAGCCCCTACCACCTAAGAATTAGGGATAAATGTGGATTAAGTAATGAATGGTAAAGTGAGGTTAAATGACGTGAGTTAAAGTTGAAGTTCGGTGAGATGAAGTCAGAAATAAATAGAGAGTCAGAGTCATACAGCATGGAAACCAACTTTTTGGTCTGACCAGTTCATTGCCAACCATAATCCCAAACTAAACTAGTCCCACCTGCCTGCACTTGGTCCATCTCTCTCCAAACCTTTCCTATTCATGCACTCATCCAAATGTCTTTTAAATGTTGTAACTGTACCCACATCCATCACGTCCTCTGGAAGTTCATTTTCCACACACAAACCACTCTCTGTGCAAAAAAGACTTGCCCCCCTGTCCATTTTAAATCTTTCTGCTCTCACCTTAAAAATATGCCCCCTAGTCATGAAATCCCCCACCTTAGGGAAAAGATACCTGCCATTCACCTTATCTGTGCCTCACATGATTTTCTAAATCTCTATAAGGTCACCATTGAGTGAGTGGGCAAAGGTCTGGCAGATGGAATACAATGTAAATAAATGTGAAGTCATACATTTTGGTAGGAGTAATAGTAAAAAGGATTATTACTTGAATGGTAAAAAGTTGCAGCATGCTGCTATGCAGAGGGACCTAGTTGTCCTTGTGCATGAATCACAGAAGTAGGTCTGCAGGTACAACAAGTAATTAGGAAGGCAAATGGAATTTTGTCCTTCATTGCTAAAGGGATTGAAATAAAAAGCAGAGAGGTTATGTTGCAGCTGTACAAGGTGCTGGTGAGGCCACACCTGGAGTACTGTGTGCAGTTTTGGTCTCCTTACTTGAGAAAGGATGTACTGGCACTGGAGGGGGTGCAAAGGAGGTTCACTAGGTTGATTCCGGAGTTGAGGGGGTTGGCTTATGAGGAGAGACTGAGTAGATTGGGATTATATTCATTGGAATTCAGAAGATTGAGGGGGGATCTTATAGAAACATATAAAATTATGAAGGGAATAGATAAGATAGAAGTAGAGAGGATGTTTCCACTAGCAGGTGAAGCTAGGATAAGAGGGCATAGCCTCTAGATTAGAGGGAGCAGATTTAGGACTGAACTGAGAAGGAATTTCTTCACCCAGAGGGTTGTTAATCTATGGAATTCCTTGCCCAGTGAAGTAGTTGACGCTACTTCAGTAAACGCTTTTAAAAAAAAGGTAGATTTTTTTTGAACAATAAAGGAATTAAGGGATACGGTGAGAACGCAGGCAAGTGATCTGAGTCCACGAAAGGATCAGCCATGATCTTATTGAATGGCGGAGCAGGCTCGAAGGGCCAGACGGCCTACTCCTGCTCCTAGTTCTTGTGTTCTTGTGTGTTCACCTCTCAA